GTTTGTTTGTGTGCGTGCGTTAGTTGCAGGTTGGACACCGGCTTTGCTTTTTTTTGGAGAGTCGTTCTGTCCTGTGGAAGCATCACACCGTGCTCGTGATCCTCGGACACTAGCCGCTAGCTTTTCGAGTGACCACCATGTCCCAGCAAATGGTCGATGGCCAACTCCGCGAGCAGCAGACAGCGACTTGCCCTCGGAAACCTGCCTCCAGGTGAAGAACCACCGAGCTGGTGGGGGCAACAGTGGCTTGTCTGCAATCAGCATGTTGTTGCAGTCCAGCTTACGAGTACATGATTCATGTGAGTCGCAATCAGAGTCGCAAACGAAAGTCAGACAGAGTTCGCACAACCCAACCGTGATTCGATTCAGCTATCGTCCAGGCTAGATTTCCAAGCAGCTTGGCTCAGCTTACCTGCATGGTGTTGACTGCGGTTCTGATACGGCTGAGCCGCGTCTGGGAACTGTTTTTTTTTGGGGGGGAAACCCACTTTTGTTGCCCCCCTAAAATGACACTTTGGTGTCCTCTAATGAGATCTTATCTCTTTATGTGACTGAATACACAGAATTATCATGCACTTCTAGGGAGAAGTTTCCAAAAAGTGATCCCTCAAAGTTCGTTTCTTTAGTGTTTTCCCTTAACCTGAAAAGTGGATCTGTTAAAGTGGTTGTTTTCTGATTCTGGGTTCTCAAAGTTTCTTTGGGGGGTTCCCTTCAAACCACTATTTGAAGAGTACCTTTGATGATGTCTTTCTAAAGTGGACCCAGGAAACAATTTATACCCTTGAACACGACATACCCATGCGCAACCTTCCTCGTTTACACACACACACACACCTCGAGGTTGCGTAAGGCATTGCGAGAAGTTTGTGGACGTGCCATAACATGCGCTTGTTCGCTTGTCATCTGTTGCATGACTTGAACCTCATAGTTGACCTGCTCCTTGGGTTTACTTTGCCTTTATGGGCTAGATCCAAATTTACAGGGCTGGTCGAGACTGGTCGGCACTGCTTGCTTTCAAACGGGCGCCTGGTCAAAGTCATACTGAGTTCCGCTCTTTTGTTGGGCCAAAGGCCTGAAATTTGTTGGTGAGTCCTGGCTTCCCTCGTATCAGCGCTTTGCTTGACCCTGGCTTGGTCAGTACAGATAAGTCTACCCTGGCCCTGTCCATGTTCTCTTGCTTTGGGCAAGCCTATGCTTGGATGCGAATTGATAGCGAGCTTGATAGCAACGCGCCTTTCGCGCACCCCTGCCGCACCAAGGTCCAGCGAGAGCTGAAATTCCTTCGGTTGTAGCTTAAGGCGCCGGGCATTGCCTGCGCAGAAATGCCGCTGCCACAACGGTTGCTGGCAGGTGTCTCATTTGTAGCCTGCAATGAGTATGTGGCACCACCCTCCTTTGTGAAGAAGCAGTCAATGATTGCAATATCAAGACCCTGGGGCAGCCAGGTTTATTGGGTTGGCACATGTCACAAGGCAGGCTCCAACCTGCGGGATCTCGGGTGCAGAACCAAGGCGTTCAGGCCTCTTTAAAGTTGCGTCTCGAGAGAAAAGGCGTTTGCCCGTGATCTTGGAAAGCCGGGTTCCAAACTACTTCAAACATGAATTCCCTTTACACCACTATTTTGAAGGTAACTTTGCACATGTCAATTTCATGAGGCAGTGAGTGGTTGAATGTGACCTCTTGCAGGCGGCAGGCCATCATAATTTCCGCTGCTTGCCGGAGGAAGGCACATGCACAAGCAGCCTTGGATGCAGGCAGTGCACACTGAAATCAGCTCTGCAGCGGGTCAAGCAATGAATTCGACATGGGGTCTCAAGGGAATCCCGCACACCCCGCGACGAGTTCTGGTTACCCCCCTAAAACTGCGGTTCCCTTTTTGCTTTCCTTGAAGTAACGACCAAAACTCCGAATCCCATGAGCACCTCCCACTTATTGCTCGAACCCAAAGGCTGGACCATTTGGTCCCTAGGAAACCTAGCACTCACTTCCTGATTTCCATTCCGGACTTTAGTCACTTGGGCTTAGACCATTTGAGCGGCAAACCAAAGAAGTGTTGGAGCTTTTTTCCGGCCCGCGGTCGGAAGTGCGACCCACCCTCATGGTCGATCTCGTGACCAGCGTGCCATGGCCGGCGCCCTGACCGAGACCTTCAAGGACAGTTGACCCGGGTTCCCATTACGGACGGTGGTCGCAAAAATGGGTGGACTTCGTATCCGGCTGTGAGTACTTCTTTAAATGGGGCGTGTCCTGTTTTGAGGCAACCCCTTTTCGGACTTGCGGGGAAACCAAGGGATGCCACCCACTTTGGTGATTCGCTTATTTTGAGACACACCCACATGGATTCGGGTAGATCCACTTCGAGTCATGTGACTCAGGCTTGGATCCTTTTTTCGGCCGCAGGGAAGGCCCTGGTCGGAACATAGCTTGTCCGAGTTCCTGAAAGGATACCAGCTGCAAGAGGGCGGTTTTCCGATGTATCCCTCAACGAACTTTGCAACATGTTACAATGCATGGCCACCTTACTACGAAGGGAGCCGATAGCTACTGCTGAGATGCCCCTGACTGCCACATCATGTGGGACAAGCTGATGAGTTGAGCGTTAAGAAGGTAGGGGCAATGGTTCCGCACATGGTGTCCATATCGTGCTCAACTCTTGGGACATGGTTGCCTCTCGTACTTGCTATCATCGAAGAGAGGAGCCCTGGACTGGTATCAGTCATTTCCCGGAGATGTTGCCGATGGGGCGCCTTGGGTATGATGACGCTCTGGCCAGATATGTCCGTCGTCAAAAGCAAAATGCCAAGATCTTTGCAAACGAAGGCTTGCACCATGTCCGATATGAGAAGCTCACAGAATCATCGCCAAGTTTTGACCAGCAAGTCAACGGAGTTTTGGAGGCTCTCTTTGGAGGCGTCATCTCCCGCGAAGAGCCATGCGAAGATTGCAGAAGCTGCCCAGGCCGACACATCAGCAAACACGCAGTGGACCACACCAACTCTGATGAGTGCATGGAAGTAGCTTTGCAAGTACAGCAGTCCTTAGACCCCGGTGTGAAGACCCACTTGACAAACCTTCAGGGGCTGGGCTTCTGAAGACTGAGCGTTTCTGTACTGCAAACCCCTTCGAACATCGACATCACAACTTGCAGAATCTGAAGGAGCGTTGGAAGGGTTCCGTGAGTGGAACGGAAATTGACCGAGATAACCGAGAAGATAGGAACCCAAAGGCCCCACCCCCTCGAGCTGCTCTGAACCTTGGACAGGGCTGCCAGAACGGCTGTTGAGAACTCTGAGGGCCCAACGGGTGCTTGTGTTTTTGACAAATCTACGCTTTTCAGAGTCGGTTTTTTGGGAAATCATCAGAAAAGAAGCACGCCGTGATCCCCCGCAATCGGATGTAGCCTGACACGCCATCTTTGGGTGGGGGTCCTCTTATTTTGACATACCAATGATGTCCCTCCCTGGATGGGTCCTTTCACATCGACAGGACTGGGCAGCTGGTGGCATCAGCTTCGTGGCCGAGGACGTATCAAGCTGACATCCGAGTCAAATTTCTCGACTTCACAGGCCGTCTTGGACGTGACCCAGAATCTTTTTTTAGGGTACCTTGTTTTGATGGTTTAAGGGAACGACATAATTTCTGGACAAAGTCAGTTTGAGAACTTGTTTGACTTGACGATTTTGACCCAAAATTATGGCCAAAAGCTAGTTTGGGCCTATCTTCTTTGAAGTTTTAACGGGAACCAAGTCCATTGTAGACCCCACATGCCCATGTCACGTTTCGGTTGAACACCATATGGGGAGGTTGACCTTTGACACACGCCCATGCGCCCCCCTCTGGGTTTGAAGCATCGCAGTTTTGGGCCAAATCTGATGCGTTTCTGGCTTTCAATTTCGACCAACCTGGGCCCATAAGCCAAGAGAAGTTGGGTCACCCGGTGTTGCCTTGGCCAACATCCAGCGAAAGAAAGGAAACCCCCGAAATCATGACTTGGCTGCGGGTCAAAAATAGGTACCCAACATTCAACCCTGGAAAATGGAGATATGAACTGAAATCTGCGGTCCCCTGGTTCAATTTTGACCCACAGCCATTTGAACCTGGGGGTGGCCAGTCCGGGGCTTTGAGCTACGGGTGGCCGACACACGTCGTTGGAGGCCCGATGGGAGGGACGGCTTCCGTTGGCCGAGCCCTGCAGGTCCGTCCAGGTGTCCATTCGTTGGGGAAGAATGTGTGGACTGTAGCTCATAGGTGCTGGGGTTAGAGTGGACCCAATCACAAGTTTTTGTTTTTGTTTTTTTGGATGATGAGGATTCAAGGGAACCGTGACGGAGAATGACCATTGTCGCGCTGCGCCATTGCACGAGGACCCCGGACCTCCGCCTGCGCTGCTGCCAGCATCTCAAGGGGAAGGAATGGGTGAGGCCTGCCTTGCACTTTTCAGGAATATGAAATGTCTAGTGTGCCTTCCCATATGCCGCCACCCCTTCAGCGAAAGACAAGCTGGAGGAATTTGTACCAGACACCCAGCAGTATACACACATATACTCTTCTTTTCTTTGGGAGGGGGGCTGCCCCATTTTGAAAGGGGCTGGTGGCGGATGGGCCATGCGCTTGCGGAAGATAACACGAGTGAAACCCGATTCAAGTGAGAAACAGTCAAAGCCCGGGTGGATGAAGATTAGCAAGGGATAGTCCCAACCAGAAGCAAGTGCAGTCGCCTTTTTGATTCTTTACATGGTTCTGGGTAGGCTTTTAGCATACTAGGTTTTGATTATGTCTCAAGTGCTTGTTCGCGAAGCTGGTGCGAAATGGATTTTGCCCATTTGGTCCAACAGGAAAGCCCAGACAGCCGGCCTGAGTGCTGCTGCGTGGCTCAAAGCACCGCGACTCGCAGCGCGGGCGGAAGGCAGGGCGCAGAAGTCCCATCGATCCCATGAGCCCTCTATAGTAGGCAACCACGGAAGCCACCCTTTGAAAGGAACAGGACAATTGCTGGGTACCCGCCCAAAAATGGCGGGCCTCGGATCCACAAGAGGGATGATTCAAGTATTCACAGCCTTTCACCCAGGTGCAAAATGGATTTTGCCCATACAGGGTTGTTCAGAACAAGGACTCCAAGACATGTTGTGGAGCCCTGTGTTGACCTCCTGGCACGGTGGTCCAGTTCTTTTGAACCCTGAGACGTCGTGGTTGAACAGAGCTCCTTGTATAACTCCTTTGTGGCTTTATTTGGTCCCATTCATATGAAATGTGTTTTCTTATATGGTGATGTTCAAGGGGAACCATAGGGCCCCGGAAATGGGTCGCCGGTGGTTTCCTTTTCACCCAAACCCCAAAGGTTACCGAGCCGACAAATACACCACCTGCGACGCCAGGCGGAGATGTTCTGCTGCCAGAGACGCTTCCGGCAGGAGAATGAGCCAGTGGACGAGGCGAACCTGCGTGGTGGAGCCCGAAAAAGGGGACACCAAAACGCCAGAGCCGAGACGTTACTTTTGGGGGTCCATGTCTTTTCTTTTGGGGGTGTGCCTTGTTTAAAGGGGAACCTTCGAAATGGCGCCGGTTTTGCCGCTTGGTTTCCCTGAAGCTAAGCACATGGATGCCTCACAAAGAGATCCGCGCGTCCCCGGGATGGGATTCCAGGCGCCTGGCTGGTGCGACAGTGTGCCGGACGACATCCCCGGGGAGGTGGGGAGGGAGGGAGGGAGCTGAATGGAGAGATGTTGGTTGGTGTTGGTTGGTGCAAATAGGGAATGGAGGGAAGGAACCGTTCGGGGATTCCCGAACAAAGGAAACCATAGGGAATGTGTGGCTGCTGCGATAAGTAGGGAATGAGAATGGAATGATCCGTTTTGGGATTCCCTGAAAGGAAACCATAGGATGGATGGATTTTTCTCATTGGGTCGTTCGTTCATTCCCTGCTGAGCACCAGCAAGTTGTCTCTACATGGGGGAATCCCTCAATCCGGTGCTGTCCCTTTGGTTTCCCTCAAAAAGGCTGCACCTCGCAAAAAGACACCCAGATGGGGTCCGCATGGGAGCAACGGACTGCGGATGGACAAGATCCATCTCGCGTCAGTTGGGACGGTTGGTGCGAAGTGGAGTTTGTCAACCAATGGATTCTTGGTCGTCTACTCTTGGTTTGGGGACGAGATTGGGGCTGTCAACCCCAATTCCAAAACCAGTGGGCGGATCAACTTGCCCATCTTGGAGGACATAGCAGCGGTCCTGCCAAAGAGGCAGCCTCCAGGTATCCACCGATGAGTGGGGGGGGCCTCTAAAAAAGGATGGTCCGTTCTTTTTTAATGGTTTTAAAGGCCCGCCTTGTTTTTTGGGGGGGTGGGGGGGGGATCCTCTATTTTAAGACACATCCGTTTCTTGGAGTTGGGTACCCCAGTTGTCGTGGAACCCACAAAGTCGAGCCTGTGCGGCAAAAAAGGGGCATGATTAAAAAATTGGACCAGGTGCTCAGCAGGCAATGAGGGAATGCCCCCTATAACCCATTAAATTGTGGTTTCCTTCAAGGGAATCCCCATGTTCATTCCCTCATTCCCTACTTGGCTGTGGGTCAAAAATGGGTACCCCAAATGGAAGTAGAAGCATGGACCAAAACTTGCGGTCCACTGGTGGTTTGATTTTGACCCATGGCCCATACCCACTTATCGCACCAGCAAGTCACTTTCGAGGTGGCTCCAACTCTGAAACTGCATAGCCAGGTCCACATGCTCATTGTGGGCCTGGACTATAGCTGCGACCGGGTGAGCTGGGCGGGGAAGAATCCGCTGGATACCAAATTTGCAGTGGACATCATGGAGCCCTGGCGAACGTGGGCAAGGGATGCGCGAATGTCAAGACGTCGAAATGTCCTGATTTGTCCATGGTCAACTTGGAGTGAGTTCTGGTGTCTTGACACGTTTGGTCCAACAAATCCTGATTGGCATATGGTCCATTCGGAGTTCGGCCCATGGACAAGCTCCGAAATCCGAACCAACGCCTGGCGAGCGCATCCCCGGAACCCTCCTCGGAACCCCGCCTTGCCGCCCCGGACACCGGGACCCGGAGCCAAAATCCAAGCAACCCCATAGCTTGCAGGGGAACTTCCCAAGTCACTTGGAACCGGACGTTCGGGGAAGTGGAAGACCATGCTCCTCTTAAAGGGATCCTGGGCCCAGGTTCCACGTGGATCCTGGGCCCCAGGCCCCAGAGCGCCTCCGCACCTAAGGAGGACTTGGCCAGGCAATGCTGCTTGGCAGCAAGCGCATAGGAAAAAAAACCCTGAAATTGGTACAGGAATCCCCCATGTGAATCCAAAATCCTGGCTGGTTGGCAGTTCCCGTGTTGTTTATTCATTCTTATTTTAAAGTGCCAGCTACCTTTTCCTTTATAGCCTGCCACTGGCTTGACTTTGATGTTGTGAGACCAGTGACGCTCCTAGACCATGTAGAGATCCTTGTGTACCCCCTTACCCCACATTTTGTATATCACGCTGAATTTTATGCTCCCTCCCCCAAATGGTTGGACATAAATCCAGACTGTCGGGGAGTCGTCAACTGGGTTTTCCCTTTACCCTACCACCTCAGCTTTGTCAAACTATGGAGACCAGCAAATGATGTCCGGGTCAGATCGGGGAGTTGGGATCCCCACTGTTTGAAAATGGGGGGGGGGGGTTGCAAAATGGGGGTGGCTTCGCTGTGCTTTTTGAGTCCATCCTGAAGGGAGGACTGTTTTCCAACGCCAACGCAGACGTCAAGGCGCAGTTTCTGTTTTCCTCCAGCTGAAAGCTTCGGGATGTTTGCCTGTTTGGCTCTGGGGTGTTTTGGAGCTTTGCGAGGGTTGCAGGAGGGATGGCCCACCTGGGCTCATTTTGGAACGACGCAGGCGAGGTGACGACTCTGGAGAAACTCTGGAATCAGCAGGCCACCAAGGAGAATGTCGTTGCCAAGATCCAGGAGGCGTCATCGAAAAGGGTGTCTGTGTCTGTGTCTGTGTCTGTGTGTGTTTGTGTTTCGGAGTTGGCACCCTTTCCACCCTGGTTTAATCTGAAACCAGAAGGGACACCGCCATTTCAGGGGGTCTCCCTATTTTGACAATTGGTCAGACGTTTGGGGTTGCCACGGGAATGGTTTCATCACGCTCCATGTGGGTATGTGGACTCGGAGCTTCTGAGTGGCATCCATGTTGGTTTTCCTTTAAACCGACGTGAAACAGCTCGAGCCTAACTTTTTGTGTGAAGGATGTCCACCAAAGAGTCCGCGACCCATTGAAAACCCCCCCCACCGTAGTTCTGTCCACACGGCCCGTTTTTCCGATACAAATCCAATGAGATGAGCTCGCAGGTTGCCAGCAAGTGCGGTGAGGATGATTATTTTGCGGGAAGCTCAGATACTCCTCGGAGCCCAAAGAGGGACCCGCTCCCCCCGTCCAAAAGGAGTTTCCTCGAATGGTGGCTTTTTGGGCTTCATGTTACTCTGGAAACCAAGCGTTTCCACGCTTGCAGCATTTGTTGCGGTACTCGGACTGAATTGGTTTGTTACACGGGGCACGATTGCTTGCACAAAAGGACCAGCATGCGTAGCATCCTAGAACCAACTTGTTTGAGCCCATTCAGTGCTACCCAAATTCTAAGACTAGTTGTACACACTCCTTGTTCACAGTGATTCATCCCCACCCCGTTTCGTATAGTGGACATGTAGCGAAATGAGTGTTCGCGCAACGGCAGTCGTTTCCCTTTCCTCCACACAGCAAATTAGGTTCCGTGCGTGTGCCTTCTCGGATTTCTCAAAATGGCAACCGTGATTCAGGAGTTCAGGACTGCGTCACTGCCAGTGCCAAAGAACTTTGGGCACGTGGATTTCACGTCAACCCTTGTCGGTTGTGTCCTTCCCATCTCGGTTTTCGTCCAGAACCAACAGTAGAACATCAGTGGACTACCCTTTTGTCCAGCAACCGATCGAGCGATCGACCGACCGACCAACCAACCAACCAACCAACAATCATGCTTCCAACACGATCCTGTGCACTTCAAAAGTTGTTGGTGCCCTGGTTGCCAACTCAGGAAAGCTGGGGTTGGTATATACCTCGTTTGGGGATACCTTTCGGGGTAAGAAGGGACCCAATGGTTGGGGTACGTAAAAGGGCTATGTACAAGCACCCCCCTACCATAGCCCAAAGCTGTAGGTTCCGTGTGACTCGCCCCTCTTGAGACATTCGTTCTGTCCGTGTCCAGATGAGAAAGCTACTTGAAAACCAAGGTTTCAGGTTCCGGAACCTGGTGTCATGTTGCAATTTGGTCTGGCCTGAAGAATGGGTTTTTGGTTCTGAGGTTTTCTACTACACTGGTCATGGTGACCAGCTGGTGAGTGTGGATGACGATGAGAATGAGCTGCACGGCAAACAATTCTGATCATATACTCTGCTGCACGATTTTAAAGCGAGCTCACACGGGGATAAAACGAGCTCACCATGATGTAGGTCCTTTTCTTAAGCAGATTCCTTGAATTATTGTAAAACAGATGCGGGATTCTGAGCCATAGAGTGGACAAACTCCCACGCGAATCGATCGGAGCGAGTTGGACGAAACCCAGCAATCCCAACTGGTGCAACATAGATTTGGTACGCCCACAAGGGAAATACAGCCAGCCTAGGCAGTGCCTATTGCTGCCTGGCTAGTAGCTATTTAAAGTCATGAAAGACGATTCATTAACTTGGCGGTCCCCAGCGAATTGTCCGGTTCCTTAGGTTGAGTTGTTGTTGGTTGGTTTAGTGCTTGGGTTTCCGCATTTAACTCGGTATCTATCGTAGGTTGTTTGGTTATTAGTTGGTTTAGTGGTTGGGTTTCCGATTTTTTGCCCACAAGTTATTCACTTTTGGGGATCGGAAAACGTACAGCCCATCTTCTGGGCGCCATGACCTGCCCATGCTCTGAATCAGCTGATTGGAGTCAAGTGGAAAGAAAGAGGGTACCTTGGGGGGGGAAAAAAAAACGATCCTGGAACACCTCC